CTTCAGACAGCAGCCTGAGCTGGTTCCCTGGGTATGCTGCGCTGGCGCTACACTAACACTATTTGTTATTTGCATGACTGTTCCTTAGAATGCATTTTTGGAATGTCCATAATAAATAATATGTATAACTACAACATGCCACACCATCACTACTGTTACATTCTTATTTTTTTTAATCATCCTGTGAAAAAGAAAACACACATGGATGTGTATGCCACTGTACCAAATTTATTCAAAATCATTAATATATTCTATATTATTATGCGACATTTTTACAAGCACACACATAGTTTAAAAACACTATATTGGATTTAATCAATATTTTTTTCCAAAATTATTAGACCAATTTATGATAAATGTCATTGTGTAATAAAACAAATGCCAAATAAATGACTTTTCATGTGAATTAAATCCAAATGAGAACCAATGACAGATCCTATCATTAAATATTATTATTAAGGATCAAGAGTGTTTGGTTTTGTTCTGGTTATTATTCTGGGCGTTCAATAGCTCCGCTAAACCTACCACTTTACAATGGGAGAAAACGGGGCATAATCACTTGCTTGATAAAGGTGTTAGGATCTACACCGAAACGTCGCACTAATTGTAATTAAGAAGTTGTTCATTCATAGAACTCGTCTAACTTCAACTTCCACATGCACCAATAACAAAAGTACGGGAAACAATGCAGTTTACCGGACGCAGCACGAGCTCTGCCATCTGCTCAGTTACCGCTGTATCGCTATACCGTTACTGTGACACACGCTCCTGTGACCTATTACCCCTTTTCGGTCTTACGATCTGAACTGAACTGAACTTTATTAACAGAGGTACAAAATTATTTTAACAACATAATAATATACATATAGAATATATACAAAAACATCTTGGCCGAGCATGCACGCATATTTATATAGATTTACTAGGGTAGCAATATATTTGCAATTCAAAAAGAGGGAGAGTTGCTTGATAGGTCTAAACAATGACATTATCATTTTACAGAATTTTGACAGTTTTCTCAATGTTCCAAGTCCTGAAGTATTGAAAAGTAAATTCATTTTATCCATATTGGGTTTGTTGTAGAATCTGTGTAAAAAAAGTTTTCTTTCGTTTTTTAAAGATAAACAAATAATGGAATTCATCACCTATGTCAGATAATTTGCAATGTTGGCATTTCCGTTCGGTTAAAGGTATTTTTCTCCATCTCCAAGTTTCAATAGGTAGATTATGATTACAAGTTCTAAACTTCAGTCAGACTCGCCAAGCGTTTTCCTGCAGTACGATGATATTCAAGATTTAGGCAATCATTTTTTTATGATACTATACATTGTGCCTTTTGAAGACTTATCCCTTGCACTGGTCCAACACTGTAGGTTAATGTCATTTATTTTTGTCATGAACTAATTGATATAGGTATGTGGGATTTTTGAAACATTGTGAAAACCAAATGTAGCTAAGTTCAACTTCATCACAAGTTCGTTCGATATATGTAATCCACCTATGCTTGCATTTTTAGTTTTGGTAGTACAAACCTTAAGCATCCAGTGTATACTATAATTATGAAATGACTCTAACATATGTTTCAGATCTTAAGCTTTTGTGGCCAATAGCACTGCATCATCTGCGTACAGTAATACAAATATTGTGATAATTTCAATTGGACACCTTTACATGATTCCTGTACAAGAGATCCTTCGAGGTAATTTTAAAATATTGCAAACAAGACAGGTGACAGGTATTCTCCTTGTCTTACTCCAGATTTACATGAAAAGAAACCTGTTAAACTACCATTACAGGAAACACATGATATTCTGGTACATATTATAAATAACGTTGTAATAGTTTTTGCCAAGTCCTGATCGCAAAACTGTGTCAAATGCTTTCTGACAATCTACAAATGCACACAGTAATTTCCTTTTCCTAGCTTTTAACAATTCCATGAGGTTATACAGAGCAAAGATGTGATCACTGGTAGGATAACCCTTTCTGAAACCTGCCTTGGCTTCTGACAGTATGGAGTTCGTTTCATTGAATCTTTGCAAACAGTTATTTAAAAGTGCTGCACACAGTTTATTATTTCACCTCTTGTTATAGCTGCAATAAGTATTGTGCTTTCTTCCATGGTTACTTTACGTAGATTATCACTTTCAAAGTCGTCATCGGCAGAGACTTCATTTAAAGATTTAAAATAGATTAATAATGCTTCACTAACTGGTAGGTTTTCATCGACAGACTGCCTTTGCTTAAGAAGTTTCCAAAATGAACGGGGGACATTTCTTTCAATTTTATATAAGTTATTTCAATGCATATTTGAAAATGTATGAATGCAGTTTTTATAACTTTTACTTGCATTAACTAGTCGTTGTTTAGTTTGGAATGTTTGACTACGTTTGAAATATCTCTTGGCCTGTAAGTATTTTCCACGGGCGATTTTACAATGTTTACCAAACCAAATGTTTAGAGCGCATGTGGGATGTTGATTTTCTCTGACTCTTTTTAACAAATCCGAACACTTTGCCAGCTGTATGAAGAAGCGCATCACTCATTTACTTTTGTTATAACATCAATTGGATTACAATAATCACCACAAAGTAGGTCAGATTCAATGGATTGTTTAATCTCTTCGTCAATGGAGTCGACCTATTCAGAAGCAGCGTCCTGTTTCATTTTCTGAGGCGGGGGCTTGTGTCGTTAATTTATTATGGGTTAAATACGGTAAGAGTTTGCCTGCCGCAGCCAGGTACATTGCACGTGAATGTGGTGTCACGAAGTCACGTGAGGAAGGTGACGTGTAGTGTTCACTGACTGTTGAACCATTCGAGGTCTTCGCATTACACAGGCGAGCAGATTTTACATCTTGCTATATATTGGCTCAAGAATTTGAGGTTACAAAGTATTGGAGTGTTTGGCCGTTGGGCAAAGTAGAGCCGCTAGGCAGATCCTTTTATTTGAGTGTTACGACGTGTTTGGTGTGATATGGGAAGTTGCTGCTAAAGTTACAGTTGGGATCCAAAAAACTGAGCCAAGGAAAACGAAAGAAAAAGCAGTCACAGATGAAGAGTAATTCAAGATAAGTATATTATGGTTATAATTTCAAACATTTCTGAATAACAACTGCAAAACTTGTTACATCACGTTTGCTTTGGTCACAATTTTAGTTTGGAATTGTATATTTCAGGCAGCTGAAAACGGACGCGGTTTTGACAGATTCGTGGATTCGACTTGAAAGAATGTTTACGAGTTTGACGAGTGTACTTATTTATGTTTGTTAATGAACCTGCTCGCTTGTCAGCTGCGGTAGGCATAATATAAGGGGATTAATACAGAGGCAGAGTATATATAACTATCTCTCCCCTGCAAAGTTTGAACAAGCCGCAATAGTATAATTATAGAAAAGTATAGACTTGATATTAGGTCGTATGTGGTACATCAAAGGTAAACAGTTGTCAGTGAGAATTATGTAAGAGTGAATGTTTAGACAAATCTTTTGTTCATAGAGAAGAAATGATTACAGAGTCAATGATATTCAACAGTATTTCTTTGTCTAGGCTGACGTTACCAAACAGGACGGTTCGAAGGTCATGTTCATTAACATAATAATAGCTTTTAGATCTTATCTCAGTGTAATAGTGACAGGTAAGTAGGTAGAGTAAGGCTCTTTCATTGAAAAAACACATGAACATTCAGCATTGTCACTAATAGACCTTAAAATTTGTGACCGTTCAGATCACTACATCCTAGTCTTAACTTACAGTGGATTATCTGATTTACGCGTGAACCAATATTTTTTAAAAATGCCAGGCACTTCTCATATACTACAGTCATGCATTTTTTGATACTGAGATTATGATGCGGCCTTTCTCAATCTAGAATCTAGTACATTCCAGGCGGAGATTGTGGAAGGTAAAAATGACTTTTTAAATAATTCAGTTCCGCAATTAGGGTCATAGTATTCGTTAGTGTTAGGTGTTTCATAATGTGGACGATCCGAGGTTTTTACAGGTGCCCTATCACATAAATAATCACATAATTTGTGAAAGTGTCGTCCTTCAGCCAAGCAGGATAGACCGGTTCCGTTATATGATTATAAATGACTTATGCCCTTCACGGCACCACATATGGTCCCGAGTGCATCTAGATGTAACATTTCCAGGGACAATTATTGATCCTTGGTGCAATTATTCCATATATGATCACAGTAATCAAACAAGGATAATCTGAATGAACAATAGAGCGTATGTAGACTGTCTGTTCAAACGATATTTCAGACTACGAAAGCAATTTATCAATAGGATAACCTTGGCAGTTAGATTTTCAGTCTGGCTATACCAATGCCCATCACTTTGTAAAGTGAGCCCGAGGTGTTTGTGGCTATAAACTTTCTTTAGTTTTACATTATTCATCAACAGATCAGACAGAACAGTGACGTTACGTTTTCTTGAAAATTAATTTGCTCCTCTTTTATCGGGATTAAATTTTACATTCCAAGTTTTAGCTCATAGAGAAATACGTTCCAAATCATGATCGATTGAAATACTTGTTGATAAAGGATCATCAATAATGACATACAGTGAAGTATCGGCAGCAAACAATTTGACATTACATCGGATGTCACAGACGATATCATTGATGAATACTAAAAATAATAAGGGTCCTAACACCGAACCTTGAGGAACACCGGCAAGTACAGGTTTGACATTCGATTTCTGTCCATGAATAACTGTATGTTGCTTTCTACCAGTTAAGTAACTTTGGAACCATTTTAAGACATTTGCATTGATAGTGTTAGGCCTACGTTCACTGTATGCCTAAAGATGTGTTTTGTCACGATCCTCTTCGATTCGTCCCGTCCTGCATGGTTGTCAATCTCGAGAATGTTCAAGAACATTGGCATACGAAGGTCTGAGTGACCACATAGAATGTCTCGAATCTTCGAACGGATTCTCACCAGGGAAACACCTTCTATTGTTAATAAACAGTCTATCAAAAGTTGGACTTACCTTAAGTCCTCTGCGTTTAGCCTTTTTCAGCAAAGGGAGAAGCTCTTGTAGTTTAAAGCGATTACATGTTCACTTCACGTTTCGACGGTAGCGATTTCTATAGTCTGCTTCTGTATGGATTTTCCTCACGGTTTATGTAATACACTCTACCAGCGGAAAGCACGCCGTTTCGCGCACTTGCACGTATGAGGGATACATCTAGGTGTGTGGTAAACGCATAACAGGGGAGTAGAGCACAAAACGCATAACAGGTGAATAGTGCCTATTATCAAGTGCGAGAAACGGCGTGCTTTCCGTTTGCAGTGAGTTACATAAAGCGTAAAGAATATCCTAACAGAAACAGACTATAGAAATCGCTACCGTGAAACATGGAGTGAACATATAACCGGTCTGTTATTACTTGAAGTTGTGGTTATAAAATTATGACAAGTACGTGAAAATATGGTAAATTAATGAGAGAGTTTAGCGATATCAAACCTTGTTCTCGGGCGTGATGTAGGGTCAATGTTTTGACGGAAGGACCCCCATACGCGGCGCTCGGATGAACCGCTATCAGTGGCTTAGTTAACCCGCTATAGCGCTACCAGTGTCTCGCTATACCATTACTGTGGCTCACGTTCCAATATGCACTCGACTAATGTTACCAGACTGAAATATCATTTTATGGCATTTTAGGAGGTCAGTATGGTACCGCTGTTAACGTTGTTTCTTCGAACAGAAACACGGAACATGAGCAGTGGAATGATGAAGGTGCGCAAAACATATCAGTCAAACATATGGTTTGGATTGTCAGATGTTAACAGCCAGTGGAGGCAACCCTCAATGCTGAACTTTGTGTTGGTTGACAAAGCATTGACGAACATAAGGAATAATCGATTCGTCGATAGTCCCATATAGATATATGAACACAAACTGCCAAAACTTGTGATGATTCTGTGCTGCTTACCCATAGGCCAGCACAGGTGGTGTAAGAAACCCTGTCACATGCTTGCCATGTGTTTCAGAAAGACGTGCCATAGTAACGTATATCGAACGTACCATGTTCGTTTCAAAATGACCGAATCCAAGCACTAGTGAGTGAGTGAGTTGGGTTTAACGCCGCTTTTAACAGTATTCCAGTTATATCACGGCGTGTCAGCTTAATGTGGGAGGAAAGCCCGAAGTGATGCAGGAATCAGACGTTTACCACTTCGGTGAAACCCACGAGCACGGGTATGGTGCTGACAAACCAAGAAACATAATTGGGGCGAACCGGGATTCGAACCCACAATCATAGGTTTCTGGCGTGCCCAAGGGACGCAACTCTGCACAGCGAATCGCGGCGCCTTATACGACTGGGCCACCTGTGCGCCCGAATCCAAGCACTAACAACACATTTGGATATTTCATACATGTGTCGACATTAATGTCATTCTTGAAATTTTAATTTTCAAAATGTTTTGACAACTGTTCCTTGCCCCCTCTACATTCATGCCGACACAGAGGACAAACGTACCATTTGTTTATAATGATTCTGACAATGTCTGATGGACATCCATAACATCCAACAGCTATCAACTGTTCCAGTGTAATGCAGGAGTTCATAAAGAACCCTGTTAACATTGTCATAACAGTTTGGGTTTGTCATCACAGGAGACCGCCTCCGTGGTCTAGTGGTAGAGCGTCCGCCCGGAGAGCGGAAGGTCCGGGGTTCGAGCCCAGTCCGTGTCATACCAAATGACATTAAAAGATGGTACTTGTTGTTACCCTGTCTGACTGGTCGGCTCGGAGTCAGTATACTGTGTCTGAGTGGGGTATTCATGTTAAACTGCGGCATGGTATCTCTTTGGCTAGCGCTATAAATCGGCATCAGTCCGGACTAGTACACACATAACATGCATGCACGTCGCTATATAAGTGCAATAATCTTGGACGCGACGTTAAACCCCATTCCACCTCACCTCACCTTTCATCACAGGATCGCCCCAGATAACAATGGGTTGGGTTGTTTGGGTTAATGTAGACGTTGTATTAATGCAGAGGGGTCATCAGATTGTTTGAGGGAATGAGTCGGTGAGTTAACAATCAAGGTCACATTGGAAACATTTCAGCAATTCGTGACAAGACGTTATACATTAATAATTAATGTACCAAACGAAAACCTGTCATCGATGGACAGTAAAAGAACTAGAATATCCCAGATGAATATTTCAAACTTTCCTGCAACAATGCAAAATATCACGATATGTAACAATACAATATACAAAAATGGCTACAGATCGCCAGCCACTGAAGGTAGAACATCACGCTAGGGACCATCGGGATTTACATTACCTTTGCTACCTGAATCGATCCCAGCAGGATTTAGTGACTAGCGATCGTACGTAATGTTAGCAACAATAAAAATAACAAATATACTAAGTTTAAAAGAGTAGTAGGCAGAAATATTCTTTGAATAACGTGAGCTAGGATAGTATATGAGGGGGACAATACTTTTACACTACTTCAATCCCCTTCAAGGATACAGCCATTAACAAGCTCAGATATTAATTCATTCTACCAATTTTAAAAGTCCTCTATTTTATACAAAACATATTATCTAAAGTTATTATACAATTCTATTTTTTTAAACACCCAACAATTAGATGAGAACTACTATTATTAAGAAGATCCTTTATGGATGAAACCTTGAAATAGTTATCCCTTGTTACGGAAAAAATCATCATAGTCAAACAGGACATGCTTGACGGTGATTCTTTCACCACAAAGGACACGGAATGGCGAGTTTTCACCTTTCAATATGCATTCATAATTTTATAACCACAACTTTAAGTAATAAAAAACCGGTTATATGTTCACTTCATGTTTCACGGTAGCGATTTCTATAGTCTGTTTCTGTTAGGATATTCTTTACGATTTATGTAACTCTCTCTGCCAGCGGAAAGCACGCCGTTTCTCGCACTTGGTAATGAGCACTACTCACCTGTTATGCGTTTTGTGCTCTACTCCCCTGTTATGCGTTTACCACACACCTAGATGTATCCCTCATACGTGCAAGGGCGCGAAACGGCGTGCTTTCCGCTGGCAGAGTGTATTACATAAACCGTGAGGAAAATCCATACAGAAACAGACTATAGAAATCGCTACCGTCGAAACGTGAAGTGAACATATAATCGCTCTAAAATACGAGAAAACTAAATAATAATACACTCTTCACGATAAATCCATTTAAGTCAGAATTATAACTCATTAGTTGCCATTTAATGGCAAAATAAACATTTATTAAACAGTATTGCGTTGTAACAACCCATCTTCATTTCTTGTGTAAAAGTCGCATTGTGAGGAGGCTGACATTTGAGATGAGGAATCATGGTCTGGTTGCTGGGGAAGTGACGTATTGTTTATGTTGTAAAATAACGAAGTTGAGTCGAGGATTCGTATGTAATACCATCCCCTGATTTCCTGTAGATTGCTGATAAGCAAGAGTGACTACAACGTGGCCAAATATGTGAAGACAGATTGGATACGGGCCGAGGAAAAAGGGGAAAAAATATATCTTTGAAAACATTTCTATATTTTCATCATTTAATTATGGTACTTTTTAGATAACTTAATGTTGATGTTTGTTTGAAATTGAATGAATATCACCATACACTAGCCATTGCAATATTTACATTCTAAACTATACTAAGAAATAATTTGAATATGAATGTGCATCAGTTTGTTTACTGCTGTGCTAGCTCACATCTTCTTATAATGCTTGTGTAATTAATTTTGATCATGTGAACAGTGAAGATGTACTATCAAACTCACTCTAACACTACACATAAATTTAAATTTGTAAACGTAATAGTCACATAGATTTTATGGCACACATAATATTTATAAGATGTGTGTTGTGACAATATCAGGAATAAGTACTCCCACAAACAAGGAATGAGAGTTTTCACAATGCACCGGTATAGACTTTTATTAAAATGATTTACAGTAAACTACGGTTATAATGAACACGCCTATAACGAACTTACTTTTTTGGTCCCGACTATTTGCTGTAGTTATGCTGTATATTTGCTTATAACGAACTACGGTTATAACGAACTAAAATGAGTAGTCCCCTTGAGTTCGTTATAACCGTACTTTACTGTAGTTATGATTTATCACTTTGATTGTGCAGCTGGCTGCTTTTAAAACAATAATTTGAATATACATACCTTGAATAGAATTGTCAATTTGTCAGAAGAGGCAGACAGATAATCGAATATGGCGATGTGATGAAGCTTGTAGAATTTCGCGCCTGCTGTGTGCGGCTCCGGCTTTGAATATACATATCGGGTTTCGCGCTCGGACCTAATAACAAACATCTGGGGAAATTCCTCAGAGTTGACACCGATATAACAGTCGGCAGAGATCCCATGCAGTGGAAGGATAAACATACGTCCCGCAGTAGTCAGTCTTACAGACCCTGATACAGATAAAGTGAGTGAGTGAGTGAGTTAGGATTTAAGGTCACATCGGCAGTATTTGAGCCATATCGTGACGAGTGATACAGATTAATATCAAATACAGCCCATGCAAGTCTATAATGTTTGGCAAGTCTTGATTACAGCAGTATCTGAAAATGAGTCACTAGGCTCCCGTTTAATATATGTTTATTAAGATAACTGAACAACTGTTTTTCTGTACGATATGTTTATTTCAGAGAGTAGTTTCTACAACGTTGGTGTGTAAAAGTTTGTTGTTGTTCTGGTTAACGTTTTTATAACGTTACACGAAACGTTTTGATCACGTTTGGGAATAACGTTGAAAAAACGTTTTAAAAACGTTATAACAATGTTTTCATGAAACATTGCCATGAGAAACCCCAAGAAAACGTTGTATAAACGTTGTGTGTTAGCTGGGTGGTTATTGGACGGAAAAACGACTAAACCTCATTAAAACTGATTAATTGGTGAGCGTCCAGAAAGTGTCCCGAAACGCTTCGAGTTTTTCTAGCGTAAAATGCTTTTTGCTCCGCCTTGTACAACTGTTATTGGCCAATAAGATGGCACTGGTCCCTTTCCACACGTGATGCCTAAGGCTTCCTTAAGACAGCATTAGATTTCGTATATCTGGCATGCCTTGCTCTAGTATCTGTCGCGCGCAGCGCAGCGAGATTTGCTGATAAGTCGTTTTGGGATATGAAACCTGTTAATGGAATTCATGTCACGCGCCAAGGAGTCAAACTAAACCATGTTACCAAGTTGTTTGAGATAACATATCCATTCGCTATTCACAGTTACCTTTATCGGACAATGAGTTTGATTATAACAGTAAATATG